CCTCTCTCTCTCTCTCTCTCTCTCTCTCTCTCTCTCTCTCTCTGCCTGTGTTTGTTTCAGGAAAGAAAAAAAGGCATTATTATAATTCAATTTCCCCCCAAAAAAAACTTGACTTAAATCCATATGCAGACGGTTACTGCTGCATCGTTATTCCAAGTGTGTGTGTGTGATGTTTATGTTTATGTTTTTTAGATGATGTGTCCAGTGAGAATTGAAAATATTGAAATTACCTTTATCGGGAAAACAAGTGAAAGTGAAAGTGAGAAATCAAGTAAAACTAAAAAGAAAGAAACTGAAAAAAGAAACCAGGAAATAAAACCAAGAAAGAAAATTCTTTTTTTTCATTTCCCTAATATCATTCATTATTCTTATATAAGATTCTAGGTTTGTTTTCAACATTTTGAAATGAGACTTTTTCGTTTGATCGTAAGTTTTACTAAAGGAAAAAAAAACTTTGTAAAAAAAAGATCATTTACCATTCTTGCTATATATACACCCAAACGACATTCACTTTATCAAACACAATCAAACAAAAAAGGTGTATTATGATGGTCCATGTTGTTGTTGTTCCAAAACCAAATGGAAAAACACGCAATTTAGGTCTGCGCATGACAAAACCATCCAAGAAAAAGATTTTCACATCTATCTTTTTTTTGGGTTTCTTCGGGGAAAAAAAGGCGCCGAAGATCATCATCATCATCACAATCAGATTCCAGAACTGATGATGATCCAGACATACACATTCATCGACAGATATTTTTAATGCTTCTGGTACGGAAATCGGCGCAAAAGATAACCAACAAAAAACATAACCAAAAGAAAAACGATTCTGTAGTTGATTCTGTTGGTTGGTTCGATGTGCAAACATATTTTTTTTGTTAGTTAATGTTTAAATTCTGTTAGTGTAACATCATCATCAGATCATTAAGATCTTATTGATCAGAAGAATAACATTACCATCATCGAAACATTTGAAAATATTCAAATTTTCTTTGTTTGTTTGTTTGTTTGTGTTCTGTTGTGTTAAAAAAGTGCCTGATAACAACAACAACGACAACAACACAGCAAAGATAATTTGATTGTTTGTCCGGTTTGTTTTGTTTTGTTTTGTTTGTTTGAAAAAACATTTCAACAAAAATGTTTGGCAATAAAAGTAAGTAAAGTTGGATTCTTCGAAGAAAGAAATGAACAAAAATTTTGTTTCATTTTCAAACATTTGAAAAACAACAAAAAATAGCTGAAGATTCGGACATTGATATTGATCAACCAATATTTGCTCGACCTAAACATGATGGTCTTGATGCATTATGTCAAATGACACATTATAATAAAAAAGGTATCGATTTTTTTTCCAAAATGAATGAATACCTACCTATTTACCTTACCTTGTTCAGTTTGTTTCGTTCAGTTTTTTTCCATTGAATAATTTATTTACATTTGTCAGATGCTATTTCTTCTTGTTTGTAGGTTTTTCATTGATCTTTTTTTTTACTTTGATCTTTTTTTCGTTACTTTCCAAATTCAAGAATTCAAGAATATTCATGCAAATTTTATCAACTTGTCAATGATCCCTTTTATATATTTGCAAAGAAGTTTGTCAATGAAAAAAAACACTTAATTATTCATATGGCTGCTTTTTTTTTCTTTTGCTAGAAATATTCCCATATCCATAGAGATTATCAATAGGAAAATGACATTTTTTCTTTCTTTTCTTCTTTCCCGAAAATATTCCCAAGTTTATTTTTTTTTTTGAAAATTTTTCTCAAAATTCATTTTTTGAAATTCATCAATTTTTCAATTTTTTTTGCTTTTTTCGACAGAACTAAAACTAATATATCAAGGATTTAAACAAGAATGTCCAAATGGTTATTGTTCGGAAGAAGAATTTGTTAATATTTTTTCAAAATATTTTCCACAAGGAGGTAAATTTTTGATTGATTGATTTTTCTGTGTATAACCATTATGATCAATTTGTTTTTGCTTTGTTTTTTTTTTCTTTTAAAAACACAAGACGCAACAAAATATGCACATTTTGTATTCAATACATTACGACCAATGTGTGATCCACAATATGGTTTCCTTGATTTTGGTGTATGTTTTTCATTTGAAATTCACTGCAAACGAATATTGACAATTTTTTTTTCTTCTCTAAATTCACTTTTCAGCAATTTATAAAAGCATTATCAACATTATCAAGAGGAACATTAAAAGGTAAATATTTTATCATTTTTTAAAAAGAATACATTAACGCATTTACCATAAAGTGATGCTTTTGATGAAACCAGCAAATTCATCTCTTTTTTTCTCCATTGTTTTTTTCGTTCATTATGAATTTTTCAATTAATTTTAAATCGGGATTTTTGTTGAAAAAATTAAATTTTTTTACAAAATACATCAGCCAAAAAAAACATTTTTTTTTTCTAAAAAGCAACTATATGCATGGCATAGACATGATAAAGTCTATTTTTTCAGTAAATTTTCAAATAAATTATCAACAAAAAAAACTATTCTTCCTTCTTTTTGTGTAAATGTTTTCTGGCTTTTGCTGTAACATCTTCCCCTTTTTTTTTTGAACATTTTTTATTTTCAAACATTAACCGAAATTTTGTTTTGAAACTATGATGTATGTTTGTTTGCTTGGATTCGTATTGTAAAATACAACATTCTACACAAAACAACATGAACCAAGAAAAATATCATATTTCAATAGATCTGGTGATGATGATGATATCATCACCACCACCAACATCATTATTATCATCATCATCATCATTTGGTGAATGCAACAAAAAAAAACATACATACAGCCATTGCATTTTTTTTATATAATAACCCGTTCATAAAGAAAGAAGAGGAAGAAACGATATATATTGTACCCATACACACAAACAAAATATGAAATATTGAATTTGACTTTGATATTTTTTTTTTTTTTTTTTTTTTTTTTTTTTTGGNTTCTTTTTTTTTTTTTTTTTTTTTTTTTGTTCAGTTTAGTTTTTGTTCTTTTTCATTCTTTTTCATTTTGTTTGGCTGATTCCGACCGGGAAAAAAATAACCAAGAAAATAACCGAAACCGAGAGAATGAATGAATTGAATGAGAAAAGAATAAAGTCGGATATTTTCTTGTCGATAATCATACAATACTAATGATATATGGATACGATATGAATATATGCAAATATATCTGGTTGAATGAAATGAAATATGTAGAAATATCCGGAATAACATATTTTTTAGGCACAAAAAAAAATATCATTGCCATCGTCGACTACAAGAAGAATTCAGACACACAATACACACACCCATTCATTCATTCATTCAGTTTTTCGCCATCCAAACCAATATTTATTCCAAAAATTGGGATGTTCATATCATTTTCTCTCTCTCTCTCTCTCTCTCTCTCTCTCTCTCTCTCTTTCTCTCTCTATTTACAGTCGCCATTTTCATAAACTNTCCAAACCAATATTTATTCCAAAAATTGGGATGTTCATATCATTTTCTCTCTCTCTCTCTCTCTCTCTCTCTCTCTCTCTCTTTCTCTCTCTATTTCTTTCATTTTTCTGGTAATCATATTTATCATCATCAAAATCATGATAATAATAATGATGATCATGATGAACAATGACAGATTCTTTTCTCTCTCTCTCTCTCTCTCTCTCCCCAAAGAATTTTCTATACCAATTTTGTTTTTTCACGAGAAAAAAAAACATAACAAAAAATTTGTTTATAACTTTCTATGACTATCTATGATCAAAGAAAGATAAAACGAATGAATTTAAAAAAAAAAAAATTTCATTTCTTTCATCGATCATATGATACATTGTTTTGTTTTTTTCTGAAAAAAATAAAACGATGTTTCAAAGAGCAAAAAATTCAGAAAAGTAAAAAAAAATCGACTACGAAACAAAACAACCAGGAAAGAATCGTAAAAGAATTTCTTTCAGAAAAAAAAAATTTCAGCTGCCTTTTCGGTTATTGTGTGTGTGTTTTCATTCAGACCAAACCAAACCGAAAAAATATGATAAATGATGATAGTCTTTACCGTTTTCTTCCTTGTTCTTTCCTTCTTCCTTCGTTCTTCGTTTATCATTCAATCACACACACACACATTGTATGCCTTTTTTGTTTTTTGTTTTTTTTCAAAGAAAAAGAATTTCGACAGTGAAGCCAACATTGAATGCACTGTACCACTGTATCATCATCATAGAATCAATGTTTTTTATTTTTTTTCTGAAAAAAAAAACAAAAATGGAAACAATAAACATCATGATGATGATGATAGTGTGTGGTGTGTGGTGTGTTAAATAACCAAAAAAAAACAATGCTTTTTTCAACACACACACATAACACACATTTACGAATGTTTTGTTTTGGTGTTTCTTCTGTTTTTCGAAGGAAAACCATCAAACACATTTTATGGTCAGAAAAAAAATTACTGTGCGTGGTGTATTTGATTGAACATATCAACACCTCGATTTTTTGATTTTTGTTTTTTTTGTACAAAGAAAACGATGTGTTAAACCATCATCATCCGATTCTGTCATTATCAAATGCTGTACGTGTGTTTTGTATGAATGAAGAAACAAGAAAAAAAAATTCAATGTCTGCATGGTTTGTGTGTATGGCAATAAATGATAAAAGAATTCTGTCATTCTGTTTGATGCATGTTTTTTTTTGTTTCTGGTTTGTTTTTTTTTTGGTTTTTGGTTTTCTGCTATGGTAAAGATAACCAAAAGAAAGAAGAATGAAAAAAAAATGATAATGTATGTTTCAGTATGGCAAAAATGGATGTATTATGTGTCTGTCTGTCTGTGTTTGGTGTGTTGATGGCTAAAAAAGCAATTATTTCGATGAATATTCGTTGTTGTTGTTTGCTGTTAAAGACATACACAAAGAGAAAGAGAGAGAGAAACAATTACCCTTTTTTGTTTGCTTGTTTGCACTATAAAGCATACAAAAAAAAAGCTAAAAAAGCAAGTGAATCAAATTAAATTGTTTGTCATTTATTTTTCGGACGCTTTTTTTCATTCTATTCATTGAATGAATAGAATGAATGAATGAATGATGTATACTTTTTATTCTGTTGTTGCCGTTGCATAGAATGATTGACTGAATGAATGTTGGTTTGGTTGACTTTATCGGTTATATTTTGTTCATAGAAGCAGCAGCAGCAGCAGCTGTTTTTTTGGTAACTGATTTTCCATTTTTTTCACCCCCATCCTCCCATTGTATTAACATTGTAATTTCTTATTATGAACATTCAACATTATAGTTTTTGTCTTTTGGTTTGGGGGGGTTTGGTTTTCTTATTTTAAATAACTGGAAAAAAATAACGACAAAACAAGCTTGATCGGAAAATCTTCAACTACAAAAAACCATGGAAAATCTATGAAAAAAAACATAAAACACAACCGAACAGAACCGAACAAAATATATTTCGAAAAATAGCATCATTAAATGCATCATCTTTTGCGAAAAGAAAATGAAAAAACATCATCCAAACAACAACAACAACAGAATTTTAATTGAATCAAAGTTTTTCTTCGTAAAAAACATCCTTAGAATCTCGAAGAAGAAGAAAAAAAACAATTAACAAACAAAGAAAGAAAAAAACTCATCATCATCATCATTAGACTTGTAGTTTTTTTGTTCCATTGGAAAATTTCATTGTATACCAAACAAGATCAGAAATGAAAAAAAAATCCGACAAACTTTTTTTTTTCGTTGTTGTTGATGGAATTGTCAAAGATTCACTTAATGAAATGTGCTCCAAATCAAATCGAAAAACCGAATAATTGACAAGCAGCGCACACACACAAGCAACCCAAAAATCATTTAATCAAATTCACCAGAAAAAATTTTCTGATTTAATTTGATTTGATTGTCGATTGTCGATTCTCGATTCTATTATCGATTCTTGAATCAAATTGATAATTTTGATTCCAAATAGATAAATAGAATCGATTAAATTCTTTCCCGTTTTCCCGGTTATTCAACGTTTTTATTTCGATGATAACCGCACACAGAATAAATAATTTCCGTTTTTTTCACGTTTTTCCTATTCGGTTTTTCTTTTTTGCATTACAGAAAAATTAAACTGGATTTTCAATCTATACGATATTGATCGTGATGGTTATATTAGTAAAAATGAAATGTATCTTATTACAAATGCTATCTATGAACTATTGGGTAAG